TTTTTTTAACACCATGTGAAAGGAAGTGCATGACTTTATATTGCTTTTCCTATTTAGTTTTCTAAGATATTCCATTACAACTCAAGACAAATTGTTTTGAAGGAAAAAAACCGGTTATCTACAGTACATTTATGAAGGCGAGGAACCTTGACTACGTGTCCTATCTTTTTAGTTTTAATACAATAGTTTGTTTTGCCTCTTAGCTTTTGTCGGCAATAGTCTGTTTGGATTTTCTCAAGTGTTACATTTTTTTTGAATAGTTTTTTTTAACCTTTTATGAGGAATCACATGTACTTTGATCACAAAAAAATTGTTCAAGTGTGAATGTGATAATTGCTGGTATTTAGTTTGATAATTACAAATAATTTGGGGAAAACACTGGTGCTTTTATCAAGAAGAGTTATGTTAGAAATTTTTTCATGTTCAATTTCTCTTAATTCATAGTTATTGGTTTTTTTTCTTTCTCATAAATATTTTGAATGATTTTTCTTGTTATGATTTCTCTTAGTTGATTTTTTAAAATCGAATTCAAGCGTTGGAGTGATTTTGTTACAGGTGACTGATCCACATTAGAAACAATGTGGTTGTGTTGCTTTTTTCTGTGTGTTTAGTGGTTGGTGTTTCATTCTTAACTGGATGATTAGTTTTCTTGTTTTCAATAAGCTACAATGATTATTCTTTTGTACCAAAATGTTCATTCACCCTTCCTCTTATGTGTGAAGTTTGTCATTTTGAATTGATTTGTTATAATTGAGTTCTATAGAGCAGTGAAATTGTTGTCATTCTGAATTGATTTATTTTAATTGAGTTTTATAGTGCAGTGAAATTATTGTCATTTTGAATTGATTTATTATAATTGAGTTCTATAGAGTGGTACCAAAAAAATTGTTGAGTGCGCCTTTAAGCACAGGTTATCCCTGGTATATCTATATAACAAGGCAAAACAGTTTTTGAATTTGTCCTAGACACATTTGTCCTACTAAGACATTTGGACGGATAGAATTCATTTCTGTCTAGGATGGATGGTAGAGATGACTCTTCTCTCACTCTACTTCAACTTCCCGCCTAAGAGCCACACACGCATAAAATAAAATAAAATAAACCTAAAACTTTGCACCCACCCATCCTTCCTCTTTTCTCTCTCAAGTCTCACCTCACTTTCCCAAATTTCAAATTTCCAAACACTCTCTAGCCCCAAGAAGAGAGACCCACACTCATTTCACTCTCTCTATAAACTCTCATCTCTGTCTCTCCCTTCCCAATTTTCCAATTTCAAAAATCTCTCTTTTCCAATCATCGCCACCGTTGCTACTCAACACCACCTCCTCTAGTCATCGCCACCACCTCTGCTCATTATCGCTGCCACCATGGATGGATTGACATCAGTCTACGGCCATAACAACTCCGCGACTGTCCACCACCATTAGAAAGGAAGATCGAACAAAAGAGAGAAATGGTTTGTTATTTGATCTAAGAGGGGATGAGAGAAGAGAATGAGAGAGAGAGAGAGAGAGAGAGAGAGAGAGAGAGAGAGAGACCAACGGTTTTGGAGAGATGCGAGAGAGTAGGGAAGATGTATTTCATAGGTAGAGAGAGAATTAGTGGTGGAAGATGGAGAGAGAATGAGCGGGAGACAGATAGTAAAGAGAGAGAGAGAGAGAGAAAGAGAGAGAGGAGAGAGTGGGTAGGAAAAATCAAGTAAAGATGGTTCTAGTGAATTGTGAGACCATTTGTCTCTCTCATTGATATATGAGACTTATTAAATAACTGAAAGGATCAATGTAATTGGAAACATTAATGTAGTCTCTAAAAAAAATGATAAAGCCAAACAAGTCTATAATCGTTTCCCGAACCGTGAACCAAAAATTTTAGAGTTTTCAAACCATAGCTGACTGTAGGACTATTTGAAACCGTACATATATGCTTCGGGTCGAGCACGTGGATCGGGTTAGGTGGATTCATGCACACCCCTAAACACTAACATAAATGGAATGCTTAAATTCTTACAATAAATCATCTTTTCCAGTTTGTACTTTAATTTTATTGGGGTGCATTTATGTCCGAGTAATTTTACAAAATTCATTATAAAGTCGAAACTAACCGGACATGTATTTATATTTTGACCTTAAATTTTTAACAATGAATTTGATAAATTACATTTTAACTTAATAATTTTATATTCAATTATATTTTGATCTCATCATTAATTGTAGTATATATATATATGAATAAGAATTAGGGGTGATCGCGGATTGGGTTAGGTTGAGTGGCATCCCATCCGCCATCCGTCCAAAATTAGGCAAAATGAAAAAAAATCAATCCCCATCTGTCCACCGGTTTGGCAGATGCGGATCGAGAGGGCCGTGCGAATTGGCGGATGGATGCGATCGGTTTAGCGGTTTAGGCTTTAAAAATTTTGAGCATTTTTTTTGAATTATAATTCATAACTTTTGCAATCTCTAATAAGTAGTAATTTGAAAAAATATGTATTATCTGTCTATAATAGGCAATGACACCACACATGTATATTTTTAAGGTATTATTTTCTATTTTCATAAAAATATATATGTTTTATTATTTCTACTTTATGTTGTTATTTGTTAGTAGTTTTTTTTCTTTTTGTTTTTGAACTTCATCTATGGGTAGATCGGGTTCATGCGGGTGAGGGATGGTTGATCCATTGTCCGAACCGTATCTGCAAATTTTGAAATATTTCATCTACATCCGTCCACTAAAAGATACACATCCACACAAAATCAATCAAGTTGGATCGATTCAGTCGGGTTGGGCAGATTGGACAGATCCATGATCACCCCTAATTAGAACGCAACTCCATAAAGTTGTCTTCAAGAAACATGAAAAAACTTGACCCTATTCAAGGTAGGGCATCAATAACCTTTAGAACCTTTATTCAAGCTTTCCTAGGAATATGGTTATAGAGATATGCTTTAGAGTAGAATTATGAAGTAGGTGGTGGAATGCAAACTTGGCTCCAAAATAAGGGGTGAGGCTTCCAAGGAAGTCCGGAGTTCCTATGGAGTGGGCTTACAAAAGGGGATTCGAAAAGGTTGGTCTGATTTCTCTGGCCATGTGAGCTTTCTCTTTGACAATGAAAGGATAAGATTCTAGCAGAACATCTGGCGTAATGATATTCCATTATCAAATGCATTTACTGAAAAATCAGAGAATAAGAATGCTTTTGCATATGAGGATCACTTGCTTCTGGGTTTATTTGGGAGCCCCTTATTGTTCAAGCAAGTTCAAGATTGGGAACTGGAGGCAATGGATGACTATTTTGTAAATGTTTTATGGATGAAAGTCCATCGGATTAAGACGATGTAATGAGGGAAAGTATGGTGGAAGGTTCTCCCATAAATCATTTCCTTCCCAGTTGTGAGATATAGGTAGAATTGCTCTTCCCATGGAGAGTATTTGGAAAACAGGGATTCAAAGTGTACTTTTTTTGGACATTGACCCTGAAATCATCACCATTGACTATTTGGATAGGTAGGGGTAGGATGCTTCCTAATTGGTGTTGTATGTGCCAAAAAGCATAGTGAATAGATCATCTTTTGTTACATTGATTATGCTCTTTCTTCTTGTAGTCTGTAAGGTTATGCCGGGCTCAATTCTCCAACTTTACAAGAGTTGGCCTAGAGGGTGCTGACCAAGAGGATGAGGAAGCCTTGGAAAGTGGCCCCCCCCTTATGCTTAATGTGGTGTGTTTGGGATGTAATTTTGAGAGGATTCTAAGATGGTTGTACGTAGATGGAATTTTTGTTTACAAGGTTTTTTTTTTTTTTGGATAAAAATAAAATTGGGGGGGGGTTAATTTTTTTCATTTTTCAGTTCCTTTTCTTTGTTGCTGAGCTTGCTGATAAAGAGTCATATGCTTATTATATAGCAGCTCCGATTCCTTCAACAAAAGTGGCTTTCCTTCCTTCTCAGTGAAGCAAATCAACCAAATTACCTTCCAAAATGGAGATTCAAGAAGATTTGTTCCCCCTACTACGAGATAGAATGCCCTCCCCTCCTCTGAGATGGGAACCCCTGATGACAGATACCCGTGTCTATTCGCCCGGAGAAAGCTTGAGATAGGAATAGCCATTATCAAAGGATGGATCAATTTCAAGCTGATTCAAGCTTGGATTCGAAAGCCCTACCTTCTACTGAGGGGTGCGCGGACCTGGCTATGGCTGCAGAAGATAAGGCAAAATAGGGTCCAGTTCACGCTGTGATAATGGTACAAGGGCATCCCCGTCCACAAAGGACTCTAATTTGAAATTCTCTTTTGTACCCCAATAGCCGATTACATCCTACATACTCACTACTCTATGTATTCATTCCTTCAGCAACTCAGGACGACTCATGGGTTACAGCTCCACCTTCTGACTCATCATTTCCTCCCAAACCAGGGGCATAACAACGAGAGGCAATACATCTACTTTCGCCATCTATTCGGACCATTCTATAGTGTGGCCCGCCCTAGGAATTTGACCACGCACTATGAGTTGGGTGAGCGGTGGGCCTCAGTACCATGGCTTTTAATGGCCTTCGATGCTTGTTCGTTTCTTGGGAAGAAGGCAGTAGGGAATGTATCCCATGTATAGATAGAAGAGAAGGGTCGGTACTAAGTGGGTGCAGGTGCCCCAACGTATCTAATATGGGATTTTGTTGGATCTACATGATGCCCATCTGTGCATTTTATAGAAGAGCTTAATTTTGTTGACACTTTCTGGATCGACTTCACTCCTGGTGTACAAAGGTTGCACCCCCCTTTGGCACTCTCAGAGGTTTTATTTATTTATAAATAATAATAAATAAATAAAAGTCTATTGTGATCAATCCTATTATCAACTTATAAAAGGCCAAGTTTGTTGGAGACTGCAATATGCAAATTAGATCTGAAACTAAACTTTGAAAAATGTAAAAACAGCAATGCAAAAAGAAATAAATATATAAAATATCAATTAAATGCAGCTAACTGGAAGCAAAAATACCTTTCAGGAAATGAAGGTAATAGCTCTTCAAGCACTTGGACAATAACTGAACCATTCACCTCTTCGTTTGCAACTATAAAATGATAATGAAAAACATTAAAGTTTCCAAATAACAAGAAAAAGAGAATGAAATGCAACACACAGGTAGACCATAATGAAAGTGATGAGAACCAATTCATTAGTCATTGGTTAAACCAAAAAGATTAATTAGGGCAAAGATGATTAATTTGATTTAATAATATGAGAAGCATCTTGAGATTGGACCATGCAAAGAAGCAGAAGAATCATGCATGTCAATCAGACAGACATTCCCAGGTCAAAAACAAATCACTATCATCTTCAGAAATTAGAAGTTCACTCAAACTCGTGATTAATTTAAAATAAGCTACCATCACAACCTTGCCACCCCAGCATTGACTAGCCCAACTTCCTTACATTATGTTAAGCTTGGCAGATAGATGAAAACATAAATCTAATATCCTTCAGCGAGGACAGTTAACATGAGGGAAGACTCCATGACCTGAATTGTAAATGAACTCAAGGACATGTCAGAAGTGGATTAGTTCAAATTCAAATTCGTTGAAGCACTAAATTTTTTTTTTTTGTTGATAAATAAGCAAGCAACCTTTATTAAAAAAGCATCAAGATAATGCAAAGAATTACAAAACCCCAACAAAGGGAATCACACTCTAACCAATAACCTCATCCAAAAACTCTAAAAAAACCAAACATATCCAGATCAATTTTCAATTCTAACCAACTATACAAAACAACTAGTAAGCGACCCTCAAGCCAACTAACGGTACGCTGAATCTCCTGAAACGTACATTTATTCCGTTCCAACCACAGTAACCACATCAAACAAAAAAGAACCAAATACCACACACGCCATCGACGACGACCAAACCGAGCCCCACACCAGGTCCACAACATATCCACCACCCGCCGCGGCTGAACCAACCAATCCCAAAAAGAGAGTAAACAAAACCCCACAAACGGAACGCCACGGAACAATGTAAGAACAAGTGATCCACAGACTCTGCATCTTCACAACACATACAACATCGATTAACAAGAATATGACCACGTCGCATCAAGTTATCAAGCATAAGATTCCGACCCAAAGCCACTGTCCACATAAAGAAAACCACCTTAGATGGAACCTGTGGCACCCAAACACTCCTCCAAGGAAAATCCTGTCTCACCTTCCCCACCATGCTCCAATAGAATGACGAGACTGAAAAACACCCCTTAGCCCTAACATTCCACCCCAAAACATCCTTCCCCACCCCAGTCACACCCAACCCATAAAAGAAACTCCATAACTCCAATAACTGATCAACCTCCCAATTAGGAACCTGACGCCGTAACTAAATATCTCAACCACCCCCTCCCCTTCCCTCAAGTAAGATACCACCGTAGCCTCCTGATCCACCGCAATGCTAAAAATCAAAGGAAAGCGATCCGCCAACAAAACCACACCACACCACCTATCCTTCTAGAAGCTCACCCTCAACCCATCCCCCACCCAAAAACCCGCCCTATCCCAAAACTCCTTTCTCCCCAACCAAATCCCTTTCCATAACCCACAACTATGAGAACCCCTCACTATCCCTGACCCTCATTCCTCCCCGACCCATCCCATACTTAACAGCCACCACTGGTCTCCATAAACGCTCTGGCTCCCAAGCAAAACGGCATAGCCATTTCCCCAACAGTGCTCTATTAGAAGTCACCAAACTTCACATCCCCAAACCCCCTGCCAGTTGTGGTTGACAAATCCGTCCCCAATCCACCAAATGATACCTAAAAACATCCCCCCCCACTACCCCACAGGAAATCCCTTTGTAACTTCTCAATCCGCCTCGCCACAGACATTGGAATAACATGCAAAGACATAAAGTATGTCGGAATGCTACTTAACACTCTTGATCAGAGTAAGTCGGCCCCCAACCGACAGATATTGTCTCTTCCAGCCTGCTAAACGACGTTGAATCCGCTCCACAACCCCTTCCCATACCCTTTGAGCTTTAAACGACGCTCCCAATGGCAAACCCAAATAAGTCACCAGTAAAGTCGACACCTTACAGCCCAACACCGCCGCCGGTAGAGATGCTATGATCTTAATCTTTTCATCATACAATGCAATGCCTTTAGGCTCAAGGTAAAGTTTACCAGACTTTTTGATTGTCATTTTCTTTTGTTTCCTTTCTTTTCCTTTTTCAGTTTACTGGGTTTCAACCTATTTTATTTCTTCTTAACGTAGTAGAGGAAAATTACACATTAACTTAAGATAACAAATTCCAAACCTTGTCATTTCAATGATACACGGCACTGAGCAATCTTATAAGTTTTCTCAACTAGTTCCATTTTTGCTATCACAGATAACTTGGAACTCATTAGTTAATGTCTTGGGATTACTCATTCTGTAATGTCCTTCAAGTATCTTCAACGTCACTGACGTAGCACATTGTAGGGAGAGAGAAGAGAGAAGAAGAGAGAGAAAAAGAGAAGGGCCACAGCCCTAGCACAAACAGCCACTACCTTCAATATTCTATATAATTCCAAAGCTAAAGATAAAAATGCAAAGACTCTAATATATATAGACTAAAAACCCTAATCAAAATAGGACATCAAATCCTATATTATTTAGAAACTTAATCCCTAATAAATAAGACACTAAATATTAACAAAACTCTTAATAAAATATAATTAAAAATAAAATAAAATACTAAATAATAAAGACATAAATATAAAATATAAAATTCTAAATAGAATATCCACGCCAAAGGTGCTCGCACGTTCCACATCAATCACTTAAAGAGATCAAGAACTACTCACAACATAGGAGAGACAGCCTGCCAATGGCTATACCTGAATTAGATGGCCATGGAATCAAATGCAGAAAAAAGAGAAATTTCTTACAATAACCTCTTTTTTTCACCCTTCAATAAGCAACAATATAATGATAATAATTACATAAGCAGAAGAACAAGAATAACAAACTATAATAACAGTATGCACAAGAATCTTTCTTTTCATAATTTCACTAGCTAAATGAAGTGATTTAAAGAGTGTTTCAAGTACCTCCAGAATCTTTTCGAATTGAATAATCGCCTCTGAGATATGATATATCACCCGTGTCTAAACCCAAACCTTCTATTTGTGCCAACTTATCCAATACACAACCAATGAGACAATAAGCCACTATACTTGTCTTGTCACAGGCTTCTTGGAGAATGAGGTATTGGTTTCTACTCATGTTCAGCTCGTCATGCATAAAATTTCGGTCACATAAAAAGTTCAAAGAAACAAAATCTGGGGGGTTTTCTGGATCAACTGTAGGTTCTTGTCTCTCAACATGGTAATCCCTCAGTTCTGAATTCCCCACACTTACATGGAACTGGTTTTCTTCCATATTATCTAAGCTGCCAAATTCAAAACATGAAGACAAAGAAGCAGAAGCATCAGAATCTACTAAATCCATTCTTGTAACAGGCTCAGGCTCAACTCTCTCAAGAGAATTAATGTTTAACCTTCTGTTGGGTGTAAGAACCAGGGAAGAGCCATTCCTTTTAATGGTAGAGGCAGCCCACCCGAAATTAGTTGGATTTGTCTCCCCAATAGTTTCTGTTTGGCCATATAGCTCACTAGGATGAAACAAGTTATTTTGATGGAATAACTCTTCTTGCTTCTCATCACTGTCATTATCATCATAATCATCACCATCATCACTTTCTTCTAAATATTCCATGTATGCATCTGCAAAATCTTCGTCAAACTCATATTCAGGAAGCAAGTCCCACAAAATATGCTTTATCTGAGAACTCACATTCAATACATGTTCTACCTCTTCTTCTTTTTCCTCCTTCGAAAAAAATCTGTAAGGAGCAGTCCTAGAGGTTCTATTGATGATACAAAGTGTTTCTAATAGATAGTCTGGAATGGTGTCCATATCACTGCATTCAAAAAGATACTCTGTCAACAAGTTCTTTACTGCTGTTTGTAAACTCCTATTTGATAACTCAGCCTTTGGGTCCAGCAACAATTGCAAATTCTTCAACTCTGGAAATCTCACCTTCTCTTTTAGAAGCCATATTGCCTTTGCTATCTCATTCTGCAAGGCTTCATCTTCTGGTGAGAATTGCTGAAACTCTGTTACGAAGGGACATCCTTGTATTAGCTTTGTCCATAAGCCCCCAACTGCCATTGCTTTGGCTAGTGGTTCCTGCAATTTATTCTCTTCACCAAGTTCTGATAGCATCATCATACAACTTTTCCTCACTTGAGCGATTAAAATGCTTCGTCCCCATCCAGATTTTGAGGTCCGCAACTGGGGCACATATCCCTGGATACCTCTGAGTTTCCTGTGCATTGCGCTTAAAGTCTGGAAAGGCATGTCCTCAAGTCCATCCAGTACCTTAGTAGCAGCAGCATGGTAGGATTGGGATGCAGGAGTCAAAAGTGGAGAACGATTTCTACGGAAATTGTGGGAGTTCCTGAGAAGTTGACATAGTTGTTCCGCTATGTTTATTTTGTAGCTACCTTTCAAGTTTCCAAGTACTTCTGGAAGACATTCTTTGATGATCTTTTTCATCTTCCACCGGATTTTCCCAAACTTAATTGAGCCACCTGTCAGTATCTCAGCTATAAGTTGAAGTCCATTGTTGGTCATGTCATCAAGCATCGAGAGAAGATTTCCTAAATCATTGGGCAAATCAAACATTTGTATATTATCTTGATCTACATGATATAAATTGCATGCCCGAAATCCCTTTTCAACAAAAGCTTTGATGGTCTCATAGTACACCTGAAAGTAATTTGAGATGATAAGCAGATGAAATTGGGAAGGACTTCATTCCAGCAATCTGTCTATGCAATCTGAAAACACCCACACCAAACCCTAAGATAATACCTAAGGGCTTCATGGGATGATATAACAGTAGCTCGTTTGAGTTTATCATTTTCTGTAGCTGCGCATAATTACAGTTTATTCATCTCTTTATATATATATATATATGTTGGCAGAAGAATTATAAAACCAAAACAAACTGAATGTTCATAGCACCAAAGATGCAAACAGGAGATAGTATGTTGCACTGTATTATGTTATGGTGCAGAAGCATCAAGTCACATCATTCATAATAGATGAATAATTCGTGGAACAGAGGAACATAAATGAAGATAGAAGGCAGCAGCATTAAAATGAGAACACTTTGACCATAAAATCATGAATCAGAAATCTTAGACGTCAATAATTTTCCTATAGTTACGCATCATTTGATTAACTAAACATGACCAAAATACATAAAATCTGATATAATGTGAGAGTTGCCTGTGTGGTTGTGTTTTCGTTTTTTCTTTGCTATTTTCATTTTTCAGAAACACACATTAATAGTCCTTGACTGATATTTCATTCCTTTTGGCTTTCAGAAGTATTAGTAAAGAAAGCGGTATGGTTTTACATTACTAATTTGTTCTTGATAAGTTTATCTTTTCCATGAGTTCAACTTCAAGAAATGGCAAAGTCATTCTTTTGAGTTAATCTTGAGAAATAACATTTGGAAGTTTTCACACTGAGATAGGTTGACTACTAATTTATGCAGTTACACTGATGCTCATGTCTCTGGGGAGGAAACGTATTGAAGCATTTGTTACACATGTTTTTGCGACAATTACATGTTAATGTACCAGAAATCCAGTTTTATGTGAGACATTGATACTTGAGAGGGATGAATGCCACCCAATGGTGGGTTCCAATGCATTTAAATCACTAGACTGGTTTAAGGGGAAGGCGTTTGTAAAGATTAAAAAAAATACATTTTCAGTATTTTCTTTCCTCTTTTGTGTGATAAAAGTTTTCCTATTCTTTAAAAGAAAAGCATTTACTTATAGATGCTAAATTCAACGCACAAGTATTCCTCGCCAGACACTTATCTTGCAGCACTAGATGGGGGAAATTCAAGCTCCCCCACCATGATTTGAAGCTTTGAATAATCAGCTTAGGGTATGATGAGATATCACCCCTTATTTATACATGAAGATTAGGGTTTACAAACAAAGTCAATTACAAGATGATCCCTGAGGGTATCACAATGATTACAGACCCAAGCCTTTCGGCTAATAAAATACTAAGACTTTCGGTGATTATAATATGCCAACATGATTAACTCTTTGAAAAATCAAATAGTTGAAAAGTAAAGCTTATAGTATTATACATGGAAGCACTTTATCATGATGGTGTTTATAAAAGATAATGTACGTCTTGTTTCAAGCTAAGTTATATCACTATGGTACAAACAAAGCAGCAGACAATCGAATCTTGATGCCTTATCATATGCAGTTATCATGACCTTGAGCATTCATCCATCCAATTGTGAGAATATATTGTGTATATATGGCATTGTGTATATTAGGAATACGCAAGATTGTGGTGTAAGTAAATAGGAATCTTTGTATTTCCTTTTTCAGTCATAGATTTAGGACTATATAAATGGATGACCTCTTTGTAAACAAACACAATTGAATATACAAGTTTATTCAGATTTTTACATGGTATCAGAGCTATCTCTGAACTGAAACCCTAGAAGCTGACTCTCTCTTCTTCTTTTGTGTTCGTCTGGTTCGATAGAAGGTCCCGAATTGTCCTTCGTCTGGTCATCTGGTTCATCTCTCTTTCTCGTTCTTTGCCTCGCAACCTACTCACGAGAACCTTAGCCTCTGGTTCGTGATTTCTTTTGTTCGTGTGATCTGTCGTTAGACTCATAAAGTTGAGTCGCCACCATTGCTAGACTTGCGAGGTGCTGGTGCTTGTCTCTCTGTTTCGACTGGTCCAGTTCTCTTTCTCCCATTGTTATTTGATCATCTGGTGGCATAGTATATCTCTCATATAAACTCTGTTTTATTAAATAAATAAAAATAAAAATAAAAATCTTTGTAATCTTTGGTTTATTACAATGACGAACACCAAAATTCAAGCAATTAGATGTAAACTCACAGGTGCCAAATATGCTTATTGGGCTAGTGTCATGAAGAATTTCCTTCTTGGTCAGAAAAAATGGGGTTATGTTTCTAGTTCTGTTCCTCGTCCATTAGACTCCAAACAAGAAGGATATCTGACTTCCTGTGACACTTGGGATTATGATAATGCCCAAGTTCTGACCTGGTTTTATAATTCTGTGGATGACCGTATTGGAATGATGTTTTCCAAATACAGTACTGCCAAAGAGGTGTGGGACTATTTATTGGGTGTGTATCAGCAGTCCAACTTTGCTAAACAGTATGAGTTGGAAACAGCTATTCAGGGTGCTCGTCAGCAGAATCAATCTATTCAGGACTTCTACATTGAAATGACAGGCCTCTAGGATCAGTTGGCTCTCATGGAATCATCTAGCCTCAAGGCACTAGACGCTTATGTTTAGTTTCGGGAGCAAGGTCGTTTAGTGCAGTTCTTAATGGCTCTCTCTCCTTAGTATGAGGCTATCCGTGGTGGCATCCTTCATCGGTCTCCTCTCCCCTCTATGGATACTATTGTTCGTGAGCTCCTCTCCGAGGAAACCCGTCTTAAGACGGCCAGTCAGATTTTGTCTCCATCTGTCTTCTTGGCTCCTACCCAGCCTCCTCTGCTGTTGAACCCTCCACCTCATCAACTTCAGGCCACTACAAAGACCAAGAAGGGGCCACTAGCCTCTGATGAGTATGCTTTTTGCCATCAGAAGGGCCATTGGAAGTACAACTGCCCCAAGAAGGGCCGTCAGTCTGCTCAGTCTTCTCAGCCGTCTCAGCCATAGTTCCGAGGTCCTACTCCGAGTACTTTTCACCCTCCTACTGCGTATACTGCATCTGCTCCGGCTTCTGATCCCGACTTGACTTCCTTGAATGCCCAGATTGCTCAGCTTCAGCATCTCTAGTCCACCTCTCAGTCATCTTCATGTGCCTCTGCTCTCACATCTTTTTATTCAGGTTTGCTTGGGTCCTCTTCAAGTATTCCTTCCTCTGTCTGGCTTTTTGAATCTGGTGCCTCTCATCATATGACTTCTCACCTTTCCTTACTCTAAAAGTATATCCCCCTTCCCTTTCCTATTATTATTAATACAGCTAATGGGTCCGGTATGTCTGTCCTATCTATTGGGTCTGTTTTACCCCCTGTCATGTCTGTTGTTACTATTCCCTCTGTTCTTTATGTTCCTCAACTGTCTGTTAACTTGATTTCTATCGGTCAGCTTGATGCTTCTGGTTTTGATGCTATCTTTTCTTTTTCTGTCTGTTGTGTGCAGGATCAAGTGTCCAAGAAGCAAATTAGGACCGGCCGTAGAGTTGAAGATCTCTATGTGGTGAAAAGCCTACATCTTCCTCTGTCTACCTCCCCCATTGCACTATCATCTTTTCAATTAGATTCTCAGTCGAGTCAGTTTTATTTATGATATTCTCGCTTAGGTCATTTGTCTGTTGACCACTTGCGGTCTTTAGCTCAGTCAGGTTTGTTAGGTAAAATTTCTCCTAGTCAAATTAATGAATATCGAGGATGTAAACTTACTAAAATGATAGCTTTACCTTTTAATAATAGTACTTCTACTACTGGTTCTCCCTTTTCTCTTGTACATACTGATGTCTGGGGGCCTTCTCCTATTCTCACTATAGCGGTTTCGCGTACTATGTGTCTTTTGTTGGTGATTGTACCCGCTATACCTAGATTTATCTTACAGCTCATAAATCTGACTTCTACCAGATATATCGTACCTTTCAATCTATGATCACTACACAATTTGGGGCCACAATTAAAATACTTAGATCTGACTTGGGTGGGGAATACTTTAAAACTGAGTTTTGTGAGTCTTTCGCTAAATTGGGCACCATTCACCAAACCTCCTATATTGATACACTTAGAAAATATGAAGAAGAAGAAGAACTCCGAAAATATGAGGAAGAAGGAATATATTTCTGTTATATTCAAAACTTCTTATCTTACAAGACCAAATGACACTCCTTATATAGGAGATATTACAAACATCATCATAACCCATTATATGCCACTTACATATTATATATTACCACTATCTACCACTATCATATTATATACATGCCACTATCTACCACCAACACCACTATCATATTTTATATATGCCACTATCTACAACCAACACCACTATCATATTCTATACATGCCACTATCTACCACCAACACCACTATCATATTATATGCATGAACACAATTTCCAGCAGATACCCTGCCCAAATTGGTCGTGCTAAACGTAAATACCGTCATCTTGTTGAGACAGCTCGATCTCTCCTTCTCTCTGCCTCTGTTCCAACACCATTCTAGGATGAAGCAGTCCTTACTGCTGTTTTTCTCCTTAATCGCATGCCGACTCCCCTATTCTCCGGTCAATCCCCTTATGAGGCTCTGTATTCCTAACCTCCTAATTATTCCCTCCTGCGTGTCTTTGGGTCTGCTTGTTTTGACCTCCTTTCCCGTAAAGATAAGACCACACTTAGTGCCCGGTCTGTCTTGTGTGTCTTTTTGGATTACAGTCTTACTCAGAAAGGCTACCGCTGTTACAACCTTATCTCTCGTCGCCTTGATGTCTCCCGTCATGTTGCCTTTCTCGAACGTCTATCTTACTTTCAGCTTCCCCCTCTCACTGCTCCCGTTTCCAAAGAGGATTTGGTTCACATTTACCCATTTCCTTCTAAGGTCCCATCTGATGAGTACATCTCCACTGTTCCTCCTGAGACCATTCCTACTTCTCCGTCTACGTCACTTATGGCTCATTCTCCCCCTTCGGCTTCTTCTTCCCCTCCGTTGTTGGTCTATTCTCGTTGCAAGGCTCGCCTACCACCAGTTGTCTTTACTCCTATTGCAACTCCTTTTGCTTCTAACGACTCTGATCCTACTGCACGCCGATATCCTGCTCGTGAGCATAGTCCTCCAAACAAGTTTGGTTGGTCTAATACATGTTTTTCTGTTTCCTATCGTGCATTTTTGTCTGTTATTCATCTTTTTCAGAACCACAGTCTTGCACGGAGGCCTGTCAAGATACTACTTGGGTTCAGGCTATGGCGGATGAGTTGTTTGCCTTGCAGAAGACTAACACTTGGGAGTTGGTTTCTTTGCCTACTGGCAAGAATCTGGTTGGTTGCAAATGGGTCTATATAGTCAAAACTCATTCTGATGGTTCTCTCGAGCGATACAAAGCGCGCTTGGTTGCCAAAGATTTCTCGCAGGAGTATGGTATTGATTATGAGAAGACATTTGCCCCTGTTGCGAAGATAACTACTGCCTGTACCTTGATTTCTCTTGTTGCTATTCGATATTGGCCTCTCTATAAGATGGACGTTAAGAATGCTTTCTCAATGGTCATCTCACTAAGGAGGTCTACATGCGTCCTCCCCCTGGCCTTCTCTACTCTTCTGGGCAGGTTTGTCATCTTCGGCGTGCACTGTATGGTTTGAAGCAATCTTTTCATACTTGGTATGATCACTTTCAGACTCCTGTTATTGAGCTTGGGTTTTATCTTTCTGCTTCTGATTCTGCTTTGTTTCTGAGACATACCTCGGTTGGTTTTGTTGCTCTCCTACTCTATGTGGATGATATGATCATCACTGGCTCTGACTCTTCTGCTATCTCTGAGGTTAAGCAACATCTCTTCCGCACCTTTGAAATGAAGAATCTAGGTCTATTACAGTATTTTCTTGGTATTGAGGTTGTCTCTTCTCCAAAGGGTTATTTTCTATCTCAGGCCAAGTATGCTAATGAGATTATTCACCGTGCCGGTCTTACTGATACTAAGGTTTTTGATACACTTATTGAGCTTAATGTGAAGCTCAACTCTACTGATGGTGTCCCTCTGGATGATCCCACTTTTTATCGCGAGCTTGTGGTTGTTTAGTTTATTTGACTGTCACTCGCCCTAATCTTGCTTATGCTGTTCATGTGATTAGTCAATTCGTTTCTACTCCTCACTCTACCCATTGGGCTGCCTTAGTTCGCATTCTTCGCTATCTGCGGAGTACCATCTTTCAGGGCTTATTATTGTCATCTACTTCCTTTTTAGACCCGGTGGCCTATGTTGATTCTGATTGGGCTAGTGATGTTAATGATCGCAAGTCCACCTTTGATTTTTGTATGTTTCTTGACGATTCCTTGATTTTTTAGAAAAGCAAAAAACAAACTGTTATTGCTCGCTCTACTACCAAAGCTGAGTACCATGCAATGGCTTATGCTACTGCTAAGCTTGTTTGGCTTCGCTGTCTTCTCTTTGATTTGGGTGTACCTCAGTCTTCTCCAACCTCTCTATTGTAACAACCGCAGTGTTATTCAGATTGCCCACGATATTGTCTTTCATGAACGAGCGAAACATATTGAGATTGATTGCCACTTTATCCGACAGCATCCGCAGTCTGGCTCTATCTCGCTTCCTTTCATCTCCTCGGCTTTGCAACTTGCGGACTTCTTCACCAAGACTCACACTACCGCTCGGTTTTAGTTTCTTCTTAGCAAACTCTCAGTGTTTTCTGCTAAAACACCTTTAGTTTGAGCGGGGGTATGAGAATATATTGTTTATATATGGCATTGTGTATATTAGGAATAGGCAAGAATTAGGTAAGATTGTGGCGTAAGTAAATAGGAATCTTTGTATTTCCTTTTTCAGTCATAGATTTAGGGCTATAAACTCTTTGTAAACAAACACAATTGAATATACAAGTTTATTCAGATTCTTACACCAATATGGTTACATCATCTTCCCTAAGGAATGATTCAAGTAGAGTCATGTAGGTACAAAACCAAAAACAATAAATTATACATGAGCAAGCAGAAAAGGATAATCTAGAATAAACTTACATCATCTTCCCTAAGGAATGATTCAGGTAAAGTCCTGTAGGTACAAAACCAAAAAAACAATAAATTATACTTGAGCAAGCAGAAAAGGATTTTCTAGAATGAAAACTAAAGTTACCATAGCCAATAATATTGGAAAGCAAGAAACAGATCCAAACTGACTCAAAATTAAATCTGTGACAAGGGGTACATACCAAATCAAGGATCACCTAAAGTAAAGAAATGAATGTGTAGAGGTAAAAAAACAGCCCTGTAGGCTGTGATGATGGTTCTTTTCTTCTTCTTTTTTGTTCTTTCCCCTTCCTTTTTTGATCAGCATGGTTGCTGCCTGTGTCTTCAATTTGCCCATGCTGATTTATATCTGGGGTTCCTTTCGTAAGGAACATCTCTCTTTGGGCCATCGAATCCAAGTTGACTTCTCAACATTAAGGGTTCAAAACAGTAGAAAAAACATGTATGTTGTGTTTGAAATAAAAAATCAACTTGCAAATCTGCAGCCACTGACATTGTTGTAAGACCGCCATGGATTTTAAAAGCCATGATAGCTAAGATGATAGAGCTAAGGAAGATAACTTGGTAGAAATATATATGAGGCAATATTCCTAAATTGTGATGATGGAAGGTGCCTTTAAATAAAATAAATAAATAAGAGAAGGAAGTAGCTTGAGGACAAATTGACACTATTCATGTTGACTCCTCTGATGGATAAGGAGTACTATTTCACTTGCTACTTGTGTCAAGAGGGTAGTTTTGATGGATCTTTTCACCATAAGTTACATTGATTGCATTAACATGAATCGCTGAGAAGTCAACTTGGTGATTTGATGGCCCAAAGAGAGTGATGTTCCTTACAAAATGACCCTCACAAATAAATCAGCATTCACTCACCCATTCATGTTTAGAAGTGATTCAAAGAGGCTGTGGTATTGTGAAGAAAAGGGTTGATTCTCAGGCCATTTGATAGAACTTTTTTAGAACTTGAAAACGTGTTCATTCTTCCTAAAACACCCATTTCTTTGCAAAGCTTTCTTTTTTATTTTTTGTGGGGGTTGGGTCAACAAGGGGAGGCAGAGAGCACTTTTCATAACTACTACTATAGAGGGAAGGACTTCATCTGTCATCAAGAAAGCACATATATTGCTATCACTGACACTATGGAGGAGGAAAGGAAAACCCTGTTTTTAGTATGCAAGGAACAACTAAGTTGATGTTACTGCTATCCGTTAATATTAACACCACCACTATCACCAAAGGCACTACCACGTCTTGAATTCAATCTCAGCAACTGCTGAGAATGGTAAAACAAAAAAAAACATTTGGTCATCAGGTAGAGAATACGTGGCCACATATGCTGGCATAGAGAAACAAAGTTCATATATTTATCTAATCAAGAACTCTACTGAAACTTCCAAAAGTCGTCAATTTCATGGTATTTCATTAGCATAAGTGAATACTTCAAATTTCCATGGACTCCAGCCAACTTTTGACGTAAAAAAGGACTTAATACTATTTGCATATAAAGCCCACATACCATGAGCTGTCCTCACAGAATCTCTCAAATCACACAATGATGATAGATTAAAAGTTCAAACACTAGATCATTACGTAATGAAATGCTTCCTCGATATTATATAGGAAAGTCAATTTTTTTTTTCTCTATATACACCATGTCAAACAAAAGAAGATGGCATCCAGATTTCCTTCTCCTCATACTAATCTTACGCCTCTTCAAACTCTGCCACCTATCTAGGAAACACCTAAGTTACACCAGAAATATTAATGATATCACACCTCCCATGCCACTCAACAATGATCTCACCAATTCTGTTGTTCCCCATGCCACTCTCATTAGACACTTCCCAACACGCGTCGCCCATGTTGGACATGCATCCAAATATGTCCTAATATTATTTTTATACCCAGACACTTGAGGTACACACATGTCCATCGCTTATACACACATAAAACACATTACATCCTCTTATAAAAGAAAACCAACGAAAATTTCTACTTATCAATCCCTTTTCCTTCAAACGTTGGTAATTAATCTTATGTTACATTTTTTTTTATTAACTTTGAAAGCAATATTTATATATATATATATGCCATGTAATAAATATGTAAAACTATATATCTTACGTATTCCCCAACTTGCCATGTCCATATCATGTTGTGTGTTGGTGCCTCATAGAATCAATAGAAATTAACCTCAAACTTTCTACTCTTGAAAGCATCTAGGTTAGTCCTATCCTCTCAAAATCCACTCATTTGTAATAGGAATTAACCTCAAACATTTAGGTTTGTGATAAATCAAATATTGCAAAGCCCCACTATTGATTATCAATCAGAATTGAACCATAAAGACTTTGAAGCAGTCAATCTAAAACAGTCCACCTGTCTTCCCAAATGATCAACCTTACATTAGACTTATTTATTTTGATGATTTATTTAACTATGTTTTAATTTATTTGAAAGAGAAAAATAGAATCTAAAATTTATTTTGATGATTTATTTAATTATGTTTTAATCAAAAATTTATTTTGATAATTTATTTGGAAGAGAAAAATAGAATCAAAATTTATTTTGATAATTTATTTAAAAGAGAAAAATAGAATCAAAATTTACTTTGTCCCATTATTTCTCACCTAAACCTTTATCGTAAATGTTGTTAGAATGTATTTAATATTTGCTTAAATCAGGAGTTCAAATAGCCTAAAATAAAGATTCAAACAGCCTAACACAGCAGTAGGCCAAAGGGTTCAAAAGGTTCAACTGAAAGATATTCAAATTAGTAATGATGGAAGTACAACGGCTATAAACGACTATAAATGTTCAAAAGGTTTAAGTGGAAGATATTCAAATTAGTAATGATGGAAGTACAACGGCTATAAATTCAAATGACTACAACGACTATAAACGACTATAATTTTCGTTATATATACCAAAGCCTCTAATGTAAACAAGTTAAAAAAAAACTTGAAAATATTCTTTGATCTATAATCACTCACATCTATTCTCAGAAATTATACACTGAGCCTTATAGCATTAAACTCATCTTTCCTGTGTATATCTATCTTTGAGAAATATTTATTGTAAACTTTCTTTGAAAGCAAAAATACTATTTCATCTTATAAAAGTGTTGCAAACCCTGTATTCTTGAAATCTTGAGAGTGATTGTAAATCACTTAAGATTTGCAAGGGTTTGGGCTTGTGAAATCTATGTAAAATCCGTGGAGAATTGCTCCATTTGTAAAGATTGTAAAGAGGTTGCTAGCACCCCTGTGAAACTAGAAGATAGTGGAAAATCTCAAGTGAAGCTTGAGAAGTGGATGTAGGCTTGGTTGAAGCCGAACCACTATAAATCTGTTTGTCTCCTCTTCCCTAATCTCTTTACTTTCCTACTACTGCTATAGCTATTTAATATTCATGTGTTAATCATTTGATTTACCCTGTATGTTAGTTATACTTCATTGTTATTTTGCTTGATCATTTACTGCTAAGTTCATCATTGTGCTTGTTAATAATTTGTTGTACTAGTAGTTAATTTTATTGGGGTATTATTAATTTTAATTTGTAAAAACCTAATTCACCCCCCTCTTAGGTTGCTTTTTGGGTAACAATTGGTATCAAAGCCTGGAGCTCTTGTTTAAATTTAACAATCTTGAGTTATTTATCCATAGCAACTATGTATTCTACTTACTCTACTGTAGGACAAGCTAGCAATATGCCACCTCTCTTTGATGGTAGTAATTATATTCATTGGAAAGAAAAAATGACTTTGTATCTTCAAGCTACCAATTATGCTTTGTGGCTCATTATCACTAAAGGTCCTAAAATCCCTACCAAGGTAATAGACCATATCAATGTGCCTAAACTTGAGGATGAATTTGATGAGCGTGATTATAAACTCCTCCAAGCTAATGCTAAAGCCAAGCTTATTCTTGTGTGTGGACTAGATGCAAATGAGTACAATAGAATTTCTTGGTGTATTACTGCTAAAGAGATTTGGGATAAACTTGAAATCACCTATGAAGGAACTAGCCAAATAAAAGAGTCTCGGATTGACATGCTTAATCATGATAATGAACTATTTACTATGGAATCATTTGACTCTATTTCTGAGATGTTTTATAAATTTACCAATATTATTAATGCTCTAAAATCTCAAGGTAAATCTTATACTAATGATGAGCTTGTAAGAAAAATACTTAGGTCTTTGCCAAATGAATGGGAAGCCAAGGTTACAGCTATCCAAGAAGCAAAAGACCTGACAAAATTAAGCATTGAAGAACTCCTAGGCTCACTCATGACTCGTGAACTTTCAATGATGGATGGCAGCAAAAAGGAAGCCATTTGGGGAGAAAATGATGGAGTAGCCAACCTGTGTCTCATGGCTCTTGAAAAAGAAGAATCCACTCAAGATGAGGTAATTTCTAATTATGTAGAACTTGAAAGTACTTTCAATGAATTACATGACATATTTAGAAACGTTTGTGTTAAGAATTTTAAATTAAAGAAATTAGTTACTTCTCTTTCAAATGATGTGGGTGTTTTAAAAATGGAAAATGCTACTTTGAAAAAAGACTTTACGTCTATTGCCAATGAGAAAAACATTTTGAAAAATAATGTTGAGGATTTAAACAAAACTCTTGAAAATTTTGTAAAAGTAAAAAAAAACCTCAACAAGCTTCTTAGAAATAAAAAATATATTTTTGACAAAGTAGGCATTTGTTTTGATCTTCCTAAACCTTTTATGAGATTAAATGTTCTTGAGACTAATCCCTATGGATCCAAGAAAGTATGGGTACCAAGAAAAAAATTAAGATATTTTGTAGGTGGAATCTCAAAGAACACCAAGGACTTCGAGAGGAAATGCACAACAAGAGTGTTCAATCTAAAGAGCAAAATCAGCCCCTACAAGAAGAAGAAAAATGATGAAATGAAAATCACCAAGATGAGCAATAGAGATAATGTATGGGTGAAGATTCCAAAGAGGTAAATAAAGGTATAACTCCTAACACACCTTTAAGCTTAAAG